CCGATCTACACCAATAACCGTTACATCACACACCGCGCACAAATGTACCTAAAGTACGGCAGCTCGACGGATTTCCGGTATACAGAGAAAAAGTTGCATCGGACTAAAGTTGAGAAATGCCAGACCTCGACGGGCTTCGGATCCTTTAATAGACTATACTACGGTGGAAGCAGCTCGGAGAGTGGAGGAGGGGAGGTATTGAGTTCTCAAAGGGTTCCACGACATTTAACAGCAATCCCATCCTCGGACCGGCAAGGAATCGAATCGAGCCGTGTATAGCTGCGTAATGGGCGCAGCTGTGAAAATGGCGAGTCGTAACAACAGAGGGTCTACAGTTCAAGGTGTATTTTTCAACCTCATTTCGGAGCAATCATCGCTTAGATAGTATGTTTTTTTTTTTTTTTTTTTTTTTTTTTGCTACAAAATAATCATTTCTTTTTTTTTTTTTTTCACAGAAGTAAATATCGTTACAAAGTCGGCTAAAATAAGTCCTGTGCTTGACAAAGTTTCGTTTGTCGTCGACCGTCCATTCTACTATATGATAAGGACGCCAGAGGTGATTCTCTTTCAAGGACACGTTATGAATCCCACAGCTAACTAATTCCCCTCCTATCCGTGTAGTGCTTAAGAAAATAAATTATTGTGATACATTTAGCAAATAAAAATCACCTTTAATTATAAAAACCGTTGTATTTTTGTGTGAAAAAGAACTTGATGATTCATTACAATCAAGAGACTATGTGCAGTATTTAAATATTTACTACACAAATCTTAATAAATATTACAGTGAATCAATAATAAATATAATGTGGGTTTACATAGAAAACTTAAAATTTTACAAATATAATTTTGTACTATATTTACAAAATAAAGTCGGCTCTTCGATTTTGTCGTTTTGTTCGGTCGACAGACTTGTGTGTAAAAAATGATGGTACAATACAATTTATTGTACTTATAGGTACACTCATCACGTAAAACCTTTCGTCGATAAATTACCGTTAGATTTTTTCTTCAAACTCCTTACACTTGGTCGAAGAAAAGTGATTTTTACGCGAATTAGCGGTCGATGATACGTCAATTTCCTATGTCTACAAAAAATACGAGCAAACCCGCGGTTGCAAACAAAGTCCCAATTAAAGTATAAATACTCTGAAGAAGAAGAAGAAAAAGAAACTCAATACAACACCCAACACCTGTAAACACCGCACTGGTCTTGCGTCCACCTCTTTTTCAACGCGACGAAGAATACCTTGGCAGCTAGTTCGTCGTCCTCCTCGGTCTCTTCGTTATCGGTACCATCCCGAGCTCCGAGGCGAGCCTTCCTCGCGACAAAATCGACCAAATTCCGGGAAAATCTGTCGTACATCGATCCGGACAGATACACGGCCACCTCGCAGGCAATCCTACTGGGACAGGCTCCGAGGTCCCACGGGTCCTTGTTGCCATTCTTACCGTCCTCCTCCTCCTTCCCCAGAGTCGAGCTGCTGTCGTTGTCCACACCGGCTAATTTTTCAGCCCGAGCCTCGTCGCGATGGGGAAGATGAGGGTGCTGCTTGTGCCCCGTCGAGGGTAGCATGTCCTGTATCGCCTGGATAACGTTGGGCAGGGGAATTTGGGAGAGAGCCGGGGCGAGGAGGCGCGAAACGAGGGGCAAAACGACAAACAGCTTGATCATGATTTTCAAGAGGGCGAGGAACTTGAAGATCTTCAAGGGCACGAGGATGGCTTTGATGGCGACGAGGGGCACGAGGAAGGGTATGCTGCTGGACACCGACAGTTGGACCAGCGCCCAGAGGGTCCGGCCGAGGGAGGCCGCGAGGTCGAGGAAGCGGCTCGTCAGGCTCTCGCACCTCACCTCGCGGTGGGGCGTCGACGGGCAGTGGCAGCCCGTTTGCGAGCCGCTGCTCAACGGCACTGAAAATTCAAACGATACGGCGATGAACAATTTTTTCCCCCCCTTTTATTCTCCACGGTGTGTGTTATTCTGACCTGAAGGTGAGTTTCGGTACGGGTCCGCGAATATGGAAGGCGCTGGGTACCCCGAGTCTTGAGTTGCCTGCCAGGGACCCGATGAGACCCCTCCGTAGCCGTGGATGTTTTGATTCTCCGTTATGGTGTTGTACTTGTCATCAAAGTCGTAATTTGCGACGGGATAGTATTCTGGCGTAGAAAATACAATTAAGTAAACGTCATAAGGGTATTCTCGAACACCCAAGTGGTTGGAATGATCTCATACCCCCCGAACCGATGATTGCTCTTTTTTCCCCCTTAAATCCCCAAAAAACGTTTGATACCATTTAAAAATGTTACGAAGAAATTGAATATACTCGTCTCTTCTCTTGTAAAAACAATGTTTTGGTTAAACACCCTTACCGTGCTCGTAATCGACGTAGGTGGGCCCGTAAGCTTTTTCATCCCGATCGGCGTCTCTCTGCGCTAACCGGCCGAGGTGTCTCTGGTGGGCGTTCGAGCGCTGGCTTTCGTACTGGGCCTTCGCCTCCGTTGCGTCGGCAACCCCGTCGCCCTCTGCACTTCCCCGGACTACCTGAGGGACAGTACAGTTCTCACCGACGCTCGTCCACAAGTGACTTTCAAAAAGACGATCAAAAGAGGTTTACTTTGTGCTCGGGGCGCGACGCGTCGGGTCCAAGGCTCGGGAGGGTTGTCGCTCCGTTGGCGATCGGTTCATCCATCGGCGAGGCGGCCGATTCGCCGAGCAGCAGTAGCAACAGAGCGCACGGCCAGCCCCAGCTTCCGCGAAACGATGCCATCTGAAAGCAGGTGGATTGCTTTCTCCTGCTCGAATTGTTTTTTTTCTTTCCGTTTCTTTCTTCGTCCATTCGAGGGGAATTGGAGACCAGGGTCCTTTAGCTGTTGTTCGGTCCGATCGAGCGTCTTTCTTTGTTGATTTCCGTCGGATTTATAATTTTTTCCAGAGTTTTTTAAATCAAACCATCGGGGTACGATAGAAAACCCTCCTTCTCTAATTGATTTGTTAATTGTGCAAGCCGATCGACAGGGAGCACTTGACCATAAAAAAGCACTTTGTTGCCCTTTTGTTCCGTTTACGCAATTATCGAATATAGGCAATTGGTTTCATTTGGCTTGGTGATTTTTGTTTTGTGTTTAAACAACCAAAGGGATCGAAATGAGCTCAAGATGTCATAAAAAAAAAAAAAAACTCTAGTTGCCGAAATTGAAAGAGCTATTTCTCTAATTGTCGAGTGTTTTAATTATAAGTAACCATGTAAATGTGTATTGTAATGTATGGTAAACAAAATTACCACAACAGTCGGCGAAAGACGTACCTGTGAAACAAAAAAATCGTTCATTTCACGCACGACAAAAAACACAAAAGTATAGATTATGACCAAAAATTTGTAAAAAAAAAAAAAAAAAAAAAAAAAACCAATAACCGTTACATCACACACCGCGCACAAATGTACCTAAAGTACGGCAGCTCGACGGATTTCCGGTATACAGAGAAAAAGTTGCATCGGACTAAAGTTGAGAAATGCCAGACCTCGACGGGCTTCGGATCCTTTAATAGACTATACTACGGTGGAAGCAGCTCGGAGAGTGGAGGAGGGGAGGTATTGAGTTCTCAAAGGGTTCCACGACATTTAACAGCAATCCCATCCTCGGACCGGCAAGGAATCGAATCGAGCCGTGTATAGCTGCGTAATGGGCGCAGCTGTGAAAATGGCGAGTCGTAACAACAGAGGGTCTACAGTTCAAGGTGTATTTTTCAACCTCATTTCGGAGCAATCATCGCTTCCTTTCGTTTCGATGCGGTGCTCGCGATAGTCCGGTAGTTTGAAAAAATGTAAAAGTTGGGCTTTGCCGATGGCACGAAGAACAATGAAAAAAAAATTGGAGCAAGTGTATGGATTTTCTGTCAATGATTCGTGGTTTATAAAGTATACACGTGTTTGTAATTTTGTACCCAGAAACCTGAATTTTAGATTTATTTCCTTTAGGGGCATAAAATTAAAAAGATAAGAGGCTTGGATCGATAAAAATATAAATAAATAAAAATGGTTTGTCATGGAGGTACCGTCAACTGTCTTGTATTGATCTTTATTCTAAATTTGGTACTGTCCTCGATTCCAATATCTTGATTGGGATGATTTTTTAAATATCGCAACGCGTGTACGCATACTATTTAACAAATTTCCACATTGCCAACGTATTAAATAACTGGCCATTGGATTCTTTTTTTTTCATAGCCGTGAGATCTAATGTCACGCCCATCTGTCGAGTCACGCGATATCATTTCTGTTATCTTGAATAAACTTTGATATGTGTATTTTTTATTAAGATTAAGAGTAAAATGATCAATAAATATATTTTTTATTAGTGCAGTATATTTTTTAGTTTACAATCATTTATAAGACCATAGGTTTAAAGGGGTTATTCTTAAAAAATAATTTTTACGTAATATACAATATTTTTGCAACAATAGTATTATCACAAATAAATATTCGTTAATTCATTTGCGATTACCTCGTGTGATGGTACTAAACACTAATTTTTTAAAATAATTTTTCATTTCAAATGCCCCTCTATCTATACTATTTCATTACATTATTATAACATAAGTAACAGCAGGTACATCAATTAGTGACTGTCGCGACAAAAAACAACACTTACCCCCGATTTAGTTTTGGTTTTGAATAATACCTACTTTAAATTTCAAGTTTTATCATTATTTAACTATCCTATTTTCGTAATGGACAAGGAACAGTCAAATTTTTTTCAAAAAATCTACAATTGCGGTAAATTGTCCATATAAATATTTATAAATGTAAAACGCGTAACCTTATTTTTAAATGATAACCTAAATTTTTTTAGCAAACTTAGCTGTTACATTAAACAAAATGAACCACGTAGGGAATCATGATCAAAAACCTTTCGATCCTAAATCGGCTGGTAAAAATAAAAATAATTTAAATGAAGAAACCGAAAAAACATTCGCTGGTGACTTAAAAACTGCAAAAAGTGATACAAAAGACATTGACCCGAAAATTGTAAAAGAATTGTTGATCGACCATTTGAAGAGCATTGCGGAGGATAAGGAAAATTTCACTGGGGAATACCAAAGGCATCAGAACAATGAATCATTTGACAAAGTGTTCGCACCACAAAAGTTTGGCACGGGAGGACAAGTAATTGCAAACTTTTCAGATAAAATAAATATGTACCTATACGTATATCCAATATTTATATTCTCTAAAGCTACGTCTTTAAAAGATTTTTGACGATTTATTTTTGAAAAATTCTTTTTTTTCCTCGAATAAAGCATTCGTGAAAAAGAACTTTTTGGCAACATCACGTGTTATGCTCGAAAAAGAGTCATTAAAATAAACAGGAAATTATAAAATAAAAAAACAGTAATATACCGAAAGAACGTATTTTAAGTAAACATAATTTGTTTAAAAAATTAAATTAATGCACGCGTCATATTGTGCACTGCAGAAAATCCCGAAGCTTCAAAAATACGAATTCAGGAGTAGCGAATTTCAAATGAGCTTTCCCACGAGGAGTCCATGGTGTGTGCCCAATTGCGACTGCGACATGTGCCACAGAGTCAACTACCACGATCGATGTTGCGACTACCTGATATACAACCACCAGGAAGCCGCGGAGGATCCCCCGAACCTCGAACACGCCTAACAATGTTACCGCAACACGCGTCGCCAGGTGTTTCCTTGGTTTTTGTATTTTTCTAAACTACATGAATAGTATCGGATACGAGAGCGCGTTGAACGAATACAAAATCAGCAGCGCGTGTGCTCGATCATCCAACGTAAATCTCGGTGTCGGTGTATCGAATTGACAAATTTTTTTTTTTTTTTTTTTTTTTTTTTTTTTTTTTCTCGCCCGAAGACGTCACAGTTTTACGACCTACAAATATTACGCTGTCGGGTTATTTTTGCACATGACATGTTTATACTTCCACGTGAATAACATTCGTATACGATAATGGCAATTTTGCCTTTCGAGTATGCATACATAATACGTTTCATTAATAATTTTGGATTATCTTTTTTGTTTACCGTCTGATGTGTCGATAAAACGTTCGTCCGAAAAATAATACAACTACAAATCATAAAAGCTATTGACGGCTTTTTTAAATTTGGGTACATAATCATGTATTGAGTGAAAAACAATGTACGTCATGTAACGTGACATACGTGAAAAAACTCACGATTTCGCGCCACTAATCAATTAATTTTGTTGGAATTTTATTTTCAAAAATCACAATTTAAAAAAAAAAAAAAAATTTGTAATATTTATTAACGCAGCTGCTGATTATTTTCCGTTCCAGGTCTTAAACTTTGCTCTCATATTTAATATCTTCGAATCTTAAGTAATGTTATGGATCGGATAAAATCTCCATGTTTGGCTTACTAACACTTAAATTTTACGTTTTAATTTTGAGTTAATCCACAAGTCAATTTGTTCAGATGTTAAAGTAAAAAATAAGACGTCTTTCGGCGCTATATTGACAATCGACTGCCAGCGTCGTTCGAGACGTACATACACGAAAACAAGAATAATGCTACAACAATATAAAAAAAAAAAAAGTAATACTTTTAAAACAAAAAAAATAAGAAAAATTCTTTCTCCCATTGCTATCCCATACTCTTTTGTGACGAATGCCTACTGTACACAGCACGTGTTATGATTTAGAAATGTAAACATTGATCATGTCACGTGCATATGAAATCATTAATTTTAAAAATCTCTCGAAGGTAAAATTTGGGTGATGTTACATAAAATTTATTAAGGGAATTATTGACAAAAAAAAATTTTTTTTAATTCCTCAAAAATAATTAATCCTTACACTTGATTACCCTAACAATCGCACAAGTTATATTAATTTCCAGATTGATCAACGTACGCAAAAATACGTTAAATCTTGATTCCCAAAGAGGAAATATCTACATACTTTTTTCCATCTTCGTCTCACGAAGGAAGCATACATTTCGTGAAATTTCCTTAAAAAAAAAAAAAAAAAAAAAAATCAGATCAAAAAAAGGAGGGAACTCATTGGGTACACACGCAAGCGACACGCAATACTAACTCTTAAAAATTCCTCGTACGTGCAATGCGTAACGAGGCATCGATAAGACACACGCACACTTGTATCACTGGACCCGCGTAAAGCAGCAATATTATTACTCATACCGAGTACTTCCAGCCTTGAAGATACACGTATACTCAAATAAATGTATGCACTTACACGGTTGCGTGTGACGTACGTAGATCGGTACAAAGAGTATATAGCGGCAGAGTTGGCTGTGGACAGCAGTTAGTCGTTGACTCGCTTTCGACGAGTCTGAATAGGAAAGTGGAGAGACATTAACCGATAATACGTACACATCAAAATGCGTTTCCGTAAGTTTTTTTGTTTTTATATTACGTTATAGCGCTGCACAATCACTCGCCGGCCGGTCTGCTCATGTGCGGTGACTTTGATTAGATTTTTCATTTTTCATTTTTTTTTTTCTTCTTTTTCATCGTTTTACGCACCGATTTAGTGATAATTGTAATAATTGCAAGCAGTCAGTTTCTCAAGTCAAGGATGTGCCGATCTACTGACTTTATTTCGTTTTTAAATCACGACGTGAATTTTTTGTTTTTTCCATGTCAAAGTAAACTTGTTGTCATTACTTTATGTTATTAGTAAAGTCATGTGAAATCCATAGTTGGGTCAATTTGGTGCCAAAATTCTTACACGTTTTGTCTTGGTAAAATTGATAAATACTTAATCATCGAGTACCGATTTTCGTGTTTACTGCGTTTAAATAACCGTGTATTAACGATTTCGATAGTTTTTTTATGTAACAGTTTAAGAAATATTATCACCTTTTTTTCTTGACAAGATATGGAGTGCCATATAATTTTTTTTTTTTTTTTTTGAATTATGATAAAACTTGAAAAATATTGTTTTATCTACACGCACATATTCCAGTATCATGGCAAAAGAATTTATGTTACTTAATAAAAAAAAAAAAAGTAAAAAAACAATATAATGAGTACAAGTGAAAATAAAGGCATTGATAAAACAAAAGTCCCTAATACTGATCGAATAGCAAAATAGAAGCTGTAACGATGAACTAGCTTAAAAAAAAATCGCTGTGCTAATTAAATTGCGTAAACAAGTGCATTAATTATGGTAACAAGTTCGAGAGATAAATGAAGAAGAAGCTCGTCCACTTGGACCGGTCGAGATTTCTGTATTTTCCCTTAATCGCGAGAGCGTCAAGTTTCAACGACTCGACGCATTTATTCGCAGATAACCTACTGGATAGCTAAAGAAAAGAAAATCCAAATCGTAATCCGATGCATTTTGAGCTTGAGTATCTTGGCTTTTCCTCGTTCACTTGATTAATTAATAAATTTTTCCTCCATCGAGTCGCAGTGAAATTATTTCACTGACATAAAATTTAATACTTTAAATTACGTTACTGTTGTACACCAGTGACTATTACCACTTGCGGGAATTAAACTGATACTTGCGGGAATTAAACCATAGTATTTTTCATTTTGCCTTGAAAATAGATGATATAATAAATTTTTCACTATTTGTATGGAGGTTTCAAACATTTCCCATTTGAAAAGACAGACATGTATTAGGAAGACATAACATGAGGCTGGGATAAAAATCGCAAACGATTTTCACGCTCGTGTACAACGAGTAACCAGAATAATTGACACTGTACGTATACGCATTTACACCGGTGGGTACACGTAAACATGTAGCTTTAGAAGTGACTCATTGAAATTCACGTGGTGAGATATTTATATCATACGGTAACCGAGCACACGACATTTGTATAAAAATCACCTTGGCTTAGCCTTCGGGAAAAACCTCATAGTAAGTAATATTTCTGACGCAAACATTCCAGAATTTAGTTTGTTATTGATTTATATGCCCATTGAGATTAATTATTACCAATGATGCAATGTTATGTCGCTTTACTTGTGATCCATTGGATAAAAACACGTGCAAAAAACCTTTGATTGTTTTTTCCTCAACAGTGATGGTCTAGTTAACCTGCGTGGTAGGAATTTTTATAATTTCGTTTTGTTTGCAAGCAAAATTAAAATGCCAACGGTGCAGTATTTGGTTTTAACATCCTTTGCAGCATGAATTTTTTTTTTTTTTTCCTTGACGCTCTTTTTCACTTTGTTTCCGACAAAACAGTTATAAAATTTTCTCATCCGTAAATTTTATTTCTCGTATCCGTTGTCCCACAATACAGAAAAATTTCGTTTATTCACAACTTCAAAAACCATTAGAAAACAAAGGGAAACCGAAAAAAAAAAAAAAAAAACAATATAAGAAAAAACCATGGGCACGATCTCATTGAAATGCCGCGCACCTGTATACGATCGAGAAATGTACGTGACCATCAAAGCGTAGCACCATTGTAAAAAAAAAAAAAAAAAAAAAACCTACAAGATCTTTTTGTTCTATCCTTAGATACGATTTCACTAGCACTGGTCTTGTGCGCCGTCTGCACCATGGCCCAGGACAAATCGGCGCTCAAGGCGGTCTCCGAGAGCAGCGAACGCTTCGCCACGAAATTTTTCAAGGTGCGTTTACATACATATATACACGTAATGGATTCATCTGCCTCAATGGGAATTTTTTTTTAAAATGGATATTAATATGTTTAGTTTTTTTTATTATTGAAGGATATTTTTAACTGTAAAAACTTGAAATCAATCGCAGATATCGCATTTTGCGCACGAGAAATGACTAATTTTCTCATCACGACACGATTAAAATAACCGGGGCAGAGCGAAAGTTTTTCCTTTTTCCATTTAACGATTGACAATAAAAAGAATCGCTCGAAAAAACGAGTACACTTCCAACGGCAGATGAATCAAGCGAAATCATGATTACCATGTGCACGTGTATAATATATGTATTATCGAGTTTCACCATCGCACGTATAAACTCCTCATTAATATCTGACGGCAGACGGTGAGCAAAGAGAACGACGGCAAGAACGTGATAAGCTCGCCCGTGAGCGCGTACTCCGTCCTGTCGATGGCGGCAATGGGCGCCGGGGGCAGGACCGCCCGGCAGATGCGCACCTCGCTCAGCCTGCCCGCCGACGACAGCGTCAGTCTCCGAGGAATGCAAACCCTCATGGACGAGATCAACGTAAGCTGTATATGTTTGCTCGTTTTGGTTACCTTTGGTTAATTTTCCCCCGCCCCCCGACAGAACGTCAAAAACGTCACTCTCGAGATGGCCAACAAGATGTACGTGGCCAAAAGCTTAAAGGTAAAGCCCAGCTTCAACGCGCTCGCCACCGACTCGTTCCGCTCCGAGGCTGCCGATCTTGACATCAGCAACCCGTCCGCTGCGGTCAAAGAAGTCAACAACTGGGTGGACCAAAAGACCCACCACAAAATCGAAAAGATCCTCGAAGATGGTAAAACACTCTCTCGTTTGATTTCTCGACCATTTTCCTATATTTAATTTTCATACCGTATTTTTTCCCCTCCTATTGATAGGAGACATCGACGGTGACACGCGCATGGTTATCTTGAACGCGGTGTACTTCAAGGGCAAGTGGGCGAAGCCTTTCGAGAACAAACAGACCGAAGACAAGCCCTTCTACTACATGGAGAACAAGACCAGGAAGGAGAAGCTGGTGCCCACGATGTACGTCAAGGGTGACTTCTTCTACGGGGAGATGCACGACTTGAAAGCCAAGTTCATCGAGCTGCCCTACCAGGCGAGTATCACATATACTATATCGGTATGGCGTTCGATGATGCTTATTGAACCGCATTGGTTAATGGAACAAATTTTTAATCGCCAACGGCAGAACAAGGACATAAGGATGGTGATCATCGTTCCCGACGAAGTCGACGGGCTGAGCAAAGTCGAGCAGAACCTCGAGGCCTTCAACTACAACAGACTCACCACCATCGGCTTCAAACGCGAGGTCGAGTTGTACATGCCGAAATTCAAGGTCGAGAGCACCCTCGACCTCAAGGCCGTTCTCGAGAAGGTGCGTTGGCTTACTTTTTACGCGCGATTCTATCGCTCCAACGGTGATTTCTTCGGTCGCCCATCACGTGGGTAAATGTCGCATTGTCTTCTTGCAGATGGGTATGACGGACATGTTCACCGACTACGCCAACTTCAGTGGTATCTCCGACCAGCCGATTAAAGTAGGAAAGGTCCTTCAAAAGGCATTCATCGAGGTGAACGAGGAGGGCAGCGAGGCCGCTGCTGTCACGGGTGAGCTATCCAGACATACACTATATTATATACTTATTATACGGTTTATTTGTTGCCACCTTCCTTTGTGCTTCTCCTCTGTGCTCTCCCGGTCGTCCGGACATACTTTCTACGATGTCGAGACGGTGATAACCAAGAGACGCGTTGTTCTTCGCTTCGTGTTCTTGATTTTGCTTGCTTGTCGGTCATTGTTGTTATGGTGTTTGATTTTATATTTAACGCAACGGTGGCTGTGGTTTTTTCGTATCATTATACATTTCAACCTATTGCTAATCGAATTTTTCCCCTTTTTTTTTCACACACTACTTGTTTCCTCGATTTTGCCTTGGTTGCTTTGGCTTTTCTCTATCTATCTCGTTGTGGGTTGCATTTTTTTTTTCTTTTTTTTTTCTTTTTTTTTTTTTTTGACAATTTAAAACGATACTTTGTGTTTTTGTACCGTTGATAGCATATTTGTGAGCCTGTGCATTGTTGATGAGATCTTAGTACTTATCATCAACCTCACTTATGAAAATCATCGACTTGGATTTTTGATGCATTATTTGAAAACATTTTTTTCTTTTTTGTTAAATAATAACATAACATTACAAACTTGACGGGAAAATTCCTCGATTGAAAACTATCCAACTGAAAAAAAACCAATGTTTCCTTCATTGCTGGGTCACACATTTTTTCGTACTTTACCGTGCATTTTTCTGATTGATAAAATGCACATCAACAAAAATTAAAAGTGCAAAATCAGCCTATCACGTGCGTCGTGATTTTCTCTATGCTTCCAATTAGTTGTAGCTTAGATCGTGTGTCACAATTCGCACAACTATAAACAAATGCTTTAGTAATTAACAAGACAATTGCCATAAATTTCATTATATTTGACTAATGCGTCGAAGAAAGAGCGCTGCAATGATTAATTAAAATTAAAAAAGTTTATTGGGCAAAATAAATAGAAAATAAAAAAAATTTTTGTCCCCAATGTAGCGCTCCGCTTTGTAGCTTATAGCGCGATCTACAGACCTGAACCAATTTACGTACTCAAAGTGGATAGACCATTCGTCTTCACGATAATTGACACCAGGAGCAGAATTACACTTTTCAAAGGACATGTAGAGCAGCTTTGAAGTCGTGCCATATCTTTTATCCCATGGGTCTAGGTTCACGGTGTATCGAATTGACAAATTTTTTTTTTTTTTTTTTTTTTTTTTTTTTTTTTTTTTTTTTTNAACATTTAAACTTTTATAACAACTATGTATGTAACTTAATATTTCTCAAAAAATTTTAATAAACATACCATGTTAATAGGGCACGTTCAGTTTAAACTTTACTTTGACAATTTTTTAGATTACATACACTGCAGAGGTTTTTTTGTATTATTATTTTTTTTTTATCAATGTATTGTAAATACTGCAATCGCCATTTTGAAATAAATTTTTGTATAATTTTACTTTTTACACGTGTTTAATTAATTAATTAATTTAATATTATATTTTTGGGAAAAATTGATTTTTTAAACCTTAAAATAATTGTTGATAATTTTTTGCAAGAGAAAGAGAACTTTCTTTTACTACATTTTCATTACATTAAAGCGTTTAATTTTATCTAATGTGTGCGGAGCTAATACAGTTTTGTGTTTTTTTCTAGTAGGATATTAAGTAGGTATTATACGGTTGTTTTTTAATAGTGTTTAATATCTTTGATAGCTACTAAATCATAAAGTGTGTTTATTTTAATAGTTAAATATGTTAACTAATAAGTAAAAATGTGTAAACAATACTAAAAACATACTTCTTAATATGAATTAACAAAACTAATACATAAATTAATTCCATAGTTAGTTTTAAAAAAACAACTGATACCCTACATTAAATCTTAAGACAGCATATTATGTGAAAATGTGATGGGAGCAATATTAATGAATAAAATATTTTTTTTTAGATATGTCAGTGGTCCTTCTCTCTTATATTCCGGAAGAAATCTTGAAAATAGATAGACCGTTTTTCTACAAAATCATTGATAACAAGACCCAAACAGATATCTTTTCTGGTTCCATTAAAAAGTTGTAACGCTAAAATATAGTTGAACCTTTGGGTTTCCATAGTATTTAAATCATAACAGGTATTAAGCTTATAAAATTATGTCTGATAAAATAGATAGACTCTGTTTGGTATTTTTTTTTATTTTTATTTTAATTTCAGCATTAAAAATTGTCAATGGGCTATTTTCCGAATGAACAACGATTATACTAAAAACAGATAGACCGTTTGCATCTCAAATAATTTTTCCCTTGTTAACCGAATAGTTATTCACAATACCGTCACTTTTTTATTATATTAATATATTTAGATTGATAATAACGATGTATCATCAAAATACGTAGTACAAATGTATGAATTTTCTTTTGTGCTGCTACGGAACGTTAGTTCTCCTAATATTTTAAGAAAACAATTGTACGGCCAAAAACAGTAAAGTCCACGAAATGACAAGGCAATAATTGTACTTCATATAGACCACGTATTTTTAATAAAAAGTATAAAAAATCATTTCAATAATTTAAGAGCAGTGAACCTTATGTTTATGAGTGCTAAGTTTTATTCATCAGTATTTGTTTTGTAACGTTACATTAGTCGTATTTTTTTTTTTTAAACATCGTATTCGCATGTTGCTCATTATTATGTGAACAAATCAATCACTATCATCATTATCCTGACATGTGAATTACGCAACATTATTCCTTTTTCACTCCGTCTTCTAATCGTCAAGCATCACATGTATACGACAATTAAAATTAATTTAATTTTATGTTTGCAATCGAAAGTGTACCGAAAATTTTATTTTACAGCCTTAGTAGGATCAGCTATAACTTCAGTGCAAGTGCGCCCCCTACCATTAACACTCCAATTAGACAGACCATTTATGTTCAAAATCGTTGACAAAAACAATATTTCCCTCTTCTCTGGAGTTCTTAACAAACCATGAACCAATAAAATTGGTACTTAATTAATAACATCCTTTACTCAAAACTTGAACTTGTGTACCAACATGGACTTATTGAATAAACATACAATTTGCTGACTACATTTATTGCATTTGACTTTACTTTTAACAAGAAATGCAAATTTTTTGCAGCTTTAATAATTATATAATCTTTAATGCAACTGCTTCCCCAACCAATAACATTACGACTAGATAGATCATTTGCGTACAAAATTGTTAGCAAAAATAACGTTTCTCTCTTCACTGGATCGCTTAACTCACCTTAAACCAATAAGTTTGACAATAAAATTATTACGCCTTTTATTTAAGGGTTGGGTATCCATTTGAGTCTATTCTGTATAATAAACGTACATTGTACTGACTACATTTATTGCATTTAACTTTGCTTTTACAATAATTTTATCTACATTATATCTTTCAAAGTATATGACATTCTATTAATAGGTCACACTCTCAGTAATAAATTAAAATTATATTGTCATCCCTTACAAAAAATAAAATTATTTAGATTTCGAATAAAAATTTTTTAAAATTTGTCTTAAAAATTTTTAACTATTTACATTTTTGGTAAATTAACATTAAATTTTCAGAATGTAAAAAATCATATCTTAATGGTTTTTTTTGTAAGGGATGGCGATATAATGGTTATGAATGAGTATTCTTTGATTTGTATAACCTCAGTGAAAATATGATATTCGTCTTCTAAATTCTAGATGAAAAAATTTAATAGTATTTATTTTCTAAGATGATGAAAGCTAATTAGGTTAATTTTTCTTTTTATTATAAAGTACATTGTATGTTATTATGTGAATGAAATCATGAGTATTATCGTTATCATAACATTTGTTATTTGTATAATTTAATTTACTAGTCACATCAAGATAGTAGATGTACTTAACACTTTGTTTAATGAGATGATGCACAAAAAAATTTTATTTTATTTACAGCTATTGTGATAGCACCAGCTACAGCGTTACTGTTCCCTTCTCCTCCAACAATACTACAATTAGATAGACCATTCTTGTTCAAAATTGTTAATAGAAAAAATGTTTCTCTCTTCTCTGGATCTCTCAATAAACCTTAAGCCAACTAGTTTGGCACGAAATATATTACATCCTTCGATCAACATTTAAACTTTTATAACAACTATGTATGTAACTTAATATTTCTCAAAAAATTTTAATAAACATACCATGTTAATAGGGCACGTTCAGTTTAAACTTTACTTTGACAATTTTTTAGATTACATACACTGCAGAGGTTTTTTTGTATTATTATTTCTTGACTTAATCATTTATTTTTTGAAAACTTATTGAAAATTTTAATATTAACAACGTAAACATGTTAAATAAAGATAATTGAAATAAATTCATTTACAACTTTTTCAAGAAAACAAAAAAGATAAAATTGTAATCATCAAGTGATGTACAAAATAATATACTGAAAAAAACTAAAAACAACAATTACTATCATATAACTATGAACTAGCAGTAATCTGTTTTCTCAGGAGTTTTCACTTTTACACTACATTTTGCTGTGCCAACAAAAACAATTAGATTATTCAACAATGAAAATTACTTTGCATACAGCAAAAACCCCTAAATGACAAAATATCGACAACTTACTTTTTTGAAACACGGATTATTGTTTTTTATTTCTCTTATTTACGTCGAAAGATTGGCCAGCGCCTTTTTGTTCTATTAACTTTTCATTTTATATTAAAAAATAGTCTCATAAGCGTTTGTTTTAGTTAATATAAACTTGTGACATATATATATATATATATATATATTCCATTTGCACCAATGATGCCACGTAAGTCACGTTTCTCAATGGTATTTAACAAAATTTGTAATGTTTTTAATTTTTATTTTAAAAAAATATTTACAACGCTGTGATAATCACATACGATATACGTAATAATTATAAATTTAAGAGAAGTACTCAATCATTAATCATAAACATTAAAAAAATACCTTGTTCTATTTAAAAAATAATTAGTATGTAGTTGAATTCTGAATTTTTGGGCTCGCACACCACCGAAAAAATATCTTGAATTTGCTTCGTGTGTATTTTTTTCTTTAAAGCTATTTTCTCGAGTTTTCGAATGGTTTGAAGCTGATTGGTTGTGTTGAATGGCAGATACTAAATTTGATCGACTTACATGGAATGTGTTCGCAGGACTGTTTGTTCTCGACATGGTTGTTTTCAGCGTAGAACTTCAAGTGGATCGACCTTTTTACTTCTCTATTATTGATACCTCGAAAAATATAATACTATTTGAAGGAAAAATAAACCAGTTTGATGAATGAGTGCCAATGAACAGTACAACTTTGTTATCTAATAAAACCGCAGACTATTTGTAACACTTTTTTTTCAATCTCCTTAAATTTACCTTGATAGCAAAATATTTATACTTAACAAAAAAAGTCTCAACTGTAAGGTAATTTGTACTGCCATTGTTTTTTATTCGCAAAACTAAATATTTTATCGAGGAAAGAAATGCATAAGCCATTTAAACTCCAAACTGTGCAGAAGATCAAAACTTTTTACCTTTTTTCCATGTGTAGGAATGATGTTTCAGTTATTATCAATGCCTATGCCCCAGATGACTGATAAATTACTCATCGATCGTCCATTCTACTACGAAATCATTAAACAGGTGAACAGGAAGGAAGTAATCACTTTGTTTTCAGGAGTAGTCAGAACCCTTTAGGCTATAATTCAGGTAAAGTCCCAAAATGGTCATACTTATCTATTTTGAGTTTCCATTTTTTCAACACTTGATTCTAATTTCATTATTTGCATTCATAAAATCTTGAATTGTAAATTTTTTTTTTTCATCATTTATAGTATTTTTTTGACGCGCGTAAAAAAAAAAAAAGTACAAATGACTTTATTATCTTGAAACAAATGATTTAAAATCCAAAATTAATTTTTTTTTCAAGTGGTTGAATTAGCATATATTTTTTTAATTCTCCATGTAGGTGCCTCTGAGTTATAACTGAAGAAAAATATGTTTTTCTTACAGACATATGAAAACTGACAGATTCGGGGACAACATTATCAAAGCGACGTTTAGTTTTTTATCACGACAGCAACGACGTACTCATCGATCGCATCGCAAAACCCATAATAATTAAGATTGAGCCGTTTACGTTTGCATGAGAACCATACAAAACCAATCAAACGGCTACGTGCCAATTACACTGTATTAAATACTTCACAAGTTGTGTTTATGATTTAATTAGCGTTACGCATGAGTGATGATGAAGAAAAACTGCATGCACGTATTGTAACACACGATATTATTTGGTTAAATAAAAGTACTTCTGAACAATCAACTCGTATGAATTATTATTTTTATCGACCTCCTGGTAGCCTCTCTAATCTTAATCGGATGATCAACTTTCCCATCTTGGGTGGCGTTGGAGATGAGCTTTAACGAGGTTGTTGAATTTTCAATCATTTTGCACATTTGTTTGTCAATCAATGTTTGTACATAAATGTTTATGCCACACAAAAAAAAATCGTTGAATTTCCGTTGTATCCAGAAACTGTAATAAATTTAAAAATGTCATTGGTTAAAATAAAGCTTGTTTTCTTTATTTTATTTTTTATTATTTTTTTTTTTTTCAGGAGTGTCAATAGTGTTGAAGCTAGCCGTCGAATCCGAGGTCTTACCGCCTAAGCTGGTGGTCGATAGGCCCTTCTACTATTTCATCACCACGCCGAGGAGTGTCCTGTTCCAAGGACACATCGTCGAGCCAAAAATTTGAAGCTTTTAATGAATTGTTTTGAAAAAAATGCGATTGATCGACTGATGCCAGAACCCACAAAAAAAACAATGTATCTATATACTGTAAGCATCTGGAAGAGACAGCAAAGTATTATTATTCAGACGAGCGCGTGAGCAATGAAAGAAAAAAAAAAAATTAAATTAATAAACGCTGTGCTTAAAAAAACAATAAATTTATTTTCCTCCAAAATCTGATGAATGGCATTTCAAACCGGTGTACATTCCCATTGGAAAATCAAACGGCGAATCAATACGAAATTAAAAAAAAAAAAAAAAATCCTGTGCATCAAGATGGGTCATTGTTGAACGTATTGGCTTCGAAAATCACAAACGGTGGAGTTAGAGGTGCAGCAACGTGGATCACGCTCTCTCGAGTTGGGGCGGGTCCTCGGCGAAGGTACGCCGGTCGTAACAGCGGCCGGAATATCCGCTCTTTTGGCACAAGTCACAGCCGCAAGTGGGGGCTCGGTAGTCCTGGAGGCTTCCCTGTGGCGGACACGTCGACTCCTCCTCGATGGCCTCGCTTTTCAATCGGCAGCAAGGCGGTGCCAAAGGGTTCTGATGAAATTGGAAAATTGCGGGTTCAATCGAGGCTTCCGATGCGATTCAATGTTGGACTGGCCATGTCAGAGGCAGTAGAGTTACTTGTTCCTTGATGAAGCACGTTTTGCACGCTGCTTTCGGTTTTTTTGCTTCGGGACAGGGCTTTTTTGCGTTTTCCTTGCACACCTCGCGTTTCGGCTCGCACTTTTCCTCTTTTTTCACAGATTCCGAGCACTTTCCTTCCTTCTCTTTGTAACATTTCGATTTTTCACTGATTTTGTCCCACAGATCGGAAACGAAGGATTTCTGGTTGCACGAAGATTTGCACTGACGACGCCCCGATTGGCTGCTCGACGTTTTTGCCGAATCTAGCAAAAAAAATCGGTTAATTCGCTTTCACGTTTCAATGTCATTGGTATGTACTATCGAAATGACGTTGGTTACCGCAAGCGCAAAGTCGGCTGAAGAAGGATTTCGTATCATCCATTGTGGTTTTTTACGAAAGGTACTGGAAACTTTGAATTCCTCATCCCAAAATTAACCCTCGAGACATGATGAGGTTACTGTACAAAAAATTTTAATGTTGACAATCGTCGTGTTTTGTTGACGAGCATTACTTAAAAATTTACGATTATTAAAACAAATTTTTTTTTTTTACTTGTCGATACGAACACTGTAGCTCGAATATAAAACCACTGATGGCATGGACTTTAAGACTCGTACATGAATTTATGTACGCGCATTATAATATTGTGGTCAAGAGGACTTGTTTCATAATTGAAGTATTTATATTCTTGATCTGATTAAAAATTTTTTTTTCCTTACCATTGCATAAAATATGATAGTAATCGATACCACTAAAAAAAATTCATTAACGTTATTAGCGTCGCACTTGTAATAATATTTCTTTTATAAGTATGTCTGAAGTGTTGATAGCGACGTGTGCGAAAAATTATAGTATTTCGCAGAAATTAATCCCGTTGTTTTGTTCAGGAAGGTTCAAAAATTTATTATTATTATTATTATTATCTGTTATTTTGTTTTTATTAAAAAAAAGTTATCAGATGTGTATTCCTTGTATTCGCTACTTGGCTTACGTAATAAAAACTATTTACAAAAACAAAATTATTGAAAAANTTTTTTTTTTTTTTTTTTTTTTTTTTTTTTTTTTTTTTTTTTTTTTTTTTTTTTAGAAATGTATTTTCATATTTCATATCATAAAAACTATTTCATAATAATCTTTATTCCAGTAAGGAAAGGCTATATCAGACATATTTTATTTCCAAAAAATATTAAAAAAAAAAATTTGTTCCAGACATTCAAAAACAGTCCACAAAAATTTAGAAATGTAACTTACCTACTTCGGAGAGGCTTGTGGTACAATTTTTGAAAAATAAAACCTCAATCGTTGCCACATAGGCAGACACGTTACATAAAAATAGCTATTATAACAATAATAATATACAAAATCCGTAATCGCGAAACTTGTTTTTAAACCGAACTGCCCCACGATAACCCTAACGTTCGTTACGGCGCGTACGTGTGCACGCTCGAACGCCCAATCTGATTATACACATAGTGTATCTCTAGCCCATGAAAGTTTTTGGCCGCGTGACGAGTTTTTCGTGCCGTATCAATGGATATTTCCATTTAATCATTATCATTAATTAAAATCATTAAGTAAATATCAAGAAATACGTGAAATGTGACGAAAACATTGTAATCAGTTTTTTTTTTGTTTTTTTTTGTTTTTTTTTTTTCCCAAATATTTACGGTATAAAAGGAAAATCTGTTGCTTGTTATTCATTATTTTGTCAGTCGACCGGGAACCCTGTCAATATGCGCCAAAAAAGTAAGTCTTTTCTTTTTCGTTTTCTTGTAAAAACCATCACATAATTTTCATTCATCCATCAATTCGCAAATTAATTGTTCCCCATCATATAGTTCCGTTGATCGTGGCGTTAGCCTTGTGCGTATTTTCCGCATCGGCCGGAATTTTGGTCGAGAATCCCGATGCTTCGCCCAGAAGTACCGTCAGCGAGTTCAGCTTCGACCTGTACGGGGTAATTGAAAAACGCCTTGCAATGTTTTATTTCTATTTTTGAATGCTCGTGTATGGAAAAATTGAAATAAATAATGTTCCATCAGGCGATCTCCAGCACTGCCCAGAGGAAAAACTTGATTTGTTCACCGCTCAGTGGCTTCATCGCTTTGTCGATGCTGGAACGCGGCACCAAAGGTAAAACGGCCAACCGAATGCGCCAATCGCTCCGTTTGCCCAACGACGAGTCGGTGATCAACAGGAGCTTAAAAAAACTCATGAACGACTTTAACGTAAATATGTTCTCTTGGCTCTGGATTTTATGAAAATTCAATTATAAAACATTCGTTGTTAATGAAACAGGACGTCGACAACACTCTGAGCGTCGCCAACAAGATGTTCGTGAGCAACAAGTTGAAGATAAAGGATCAGTTTATGCAGTTGACCAGGGAAATTTTCAAATCCGAGGCGGCCAACATCGACACCAGCGACCCATCCGGTTCGGCGAAAACGATCAACGATTGGGTCAGCGAGAAGACCCACGACAAAATCAAAAAACTCATCGAGCCAAGTGAGTACCACTCGTCGTGGTAAAAAAAAAAAAAAAAGGTACACGTCCCAGCGACACCGTGTCATATACTTTGCAGAGGCCATCACCAGTGACACGCGTTTGATTCTCGTGAACGCCCTGTACTTCAAGGGTGAGTGGGAAAAGGCGTTCACCAAGGAGCTGACAACAATGGAATCGTTCACGAGCACCGCTGGTGAGATCAAGGTGCCCATGATGTCGGTCCAGTCGAACTACCTTTACGGCCGGCTCGAAGATGCGAAGGCCACTTTCATACATCTGCCTTACAAGGTGACCTACTATCCACTTTAGCCGATAAATCGGTGTTTTTGCCATTGCGCCTTGACCTTGATCCGGTGAATTTTGTCGCAGAACCAAGACTTCGAGATGGTGATCGTGGTGCCCGATGAGGCCGACGGGTTGAACGCGGTCGAGGAAAAGTTGGCCTCTTACGATCTCTCCAACCACGCTTCGATGGACAAGGTCAGGTTGTTCCTGCCAAAGTTCAAGTTCGAAAGCACCATCGACCTCAAGGAGCCGCTGACCAAGGTAGGGCCCCTTGCACCACGCAATAATGTCTACATACTATATACACGTATGTATACGCCCTGGTAAATTTGCAGATCGGTTTGGCCGAGCTGTTCGAGAGCCCCTACTTGAGCGGAATTTCGGACGATCCGTTGCGGGTCAGCCAAGTCGTTCAGAAAGCGGTGATCGAAGTGGACGAGCAGGGCAGCGTGGCCGCCGCCGCCACGGGTACGCCCCTCGTTCATTTAACTTTTTTTTTTTTTTTTTTTTTTTTTTTTTTTCTTTTTTCTCGCGTCGCCACGCGAAATCAACGCGCTTGTTTATCTTTTCAGCCGTCGAGTCCGTCATCAGGTCGAGCAAACAAGTGAACAAGCCGCCGGTTGTGGTCCGCGTCGACAGGCCGTTCTACTTCATGATCCGGAAGTCGCGAGCCATCATCTTCCAGGGGCACGTTTACAATCCACTGTTGAGCTGAAACAGTACCCAGTTGTGAAATGGAAAGAGGAAAAGTTACTTTGCAAGTTCAGTGATTGCATAGGAGCCGTATATGTTTTTTTTTTTTTTTTTTTTTTTTTTTTTTTTTTTGTTCATCGTTGGACGTCAAATTGTGTGTAAGCTTTTAGTTAGTGTCCGAACGACACTTGTTATTTTGTGAAAATAAAATTATCACTATAATATAACTGTTGGTTGTCATTATTATTTTTTTTTTCTTTGTTGTTTTATTTATATATTATGCGCGTATGGTACGAGTGTGGCGTTGTTTTGGGAAAAAATGGTAAATAAAATACGTTCGAGTGCAGGATAAATCTGCCGAAGTTCTGGCGGAAGTGCAAAAGATAAGGTGTGCGTTTCGATAAAAAAAAAAAAAACGCTATCAAATTTTTTCATTTTTCACGAGTAAACATTGAGACAAATGTGATATTATTGCTCTTGGAGGCGATATAATACTCATAAAAAGGCAGATAAGTAGCGAACCACTTTCATTTGTTTCTCTTTTCATCGGCCGGGAATACCGTCGTCTTCGTCATGGATTCCCGTAAGTTATCTCGATTTGCATATTTGTTCTGTTTTCAATAACTATAAATTAAAATTGATAAAATCCTTTCTATTCGATCTTCCACCTTTAATCCACGTTTATTGAACTACTAACATCTGCCAAAACACTTTATCTCAGTTCACTAAAGTTCAACGAGGTCGAGAGTGAGTTTTATATAACTTGAACAATTTTTTGTCCCACAACTCGGTTGTGCACGATGTTTGAAAATAGACGAGTGATCGGGTAACAATAATCGACTTGAAAAATAAATTATAATCCAAAATGGTAGAGTTAAAAGAAGTCAGTAGCCGAGGAAAAAAAAAAAACTTTTGCCTCTTGCAGGATTATTTATCTGGGCGCTCATTTTATGCGTAACGTCGGCGGCAGAAGTGAATGATAAAAAAACTGACTTAACGGCGCTCAAAGTGTTGTCGAGGAGCAGCCACAAGTTCGGCAGCGATCTTTTCAAGGTGATTCGTTGTTGTTCCAGTTGTTTTACAAAAATAAATAACGCGTACCACACAAATACGTGACCTGATTTTTTTTTGTTTTTTTTTTCTCAAATACCGTTAGCTCTTGTCGATTGAAAAGAAAAATGAAAATCTGATCTGCTCGACGCTAAGCGCCCACGTCGCGCTCTCGATGGCGACCTATGGAGCGAGAGGCCCAACGTTCAGGGCGATGCGTGAAGCCCTCAAACTGCCCGCCAACGGAACTTTTGCTCTCTCGGGATTCCAGAGTCTCGTCGAAGATTTGAATGTACGCGATTGCACACAGTTGGTATTCGATCCACCAGAAATAATCGAATTGCGCAATAATAAGGAGATGATGCTTTATTTTGTTTCCCTGAACAGAGTATCGAAAAGGTGGATCTAGAAATGGCCAATGGAATATACATCGACAAGACTTTGCAAATAAATGACTGGTTCAAGAAGCTCACCAGTATGTCCTTCAAGGCTGAAACTACGGCCATTGATACAAGTGTCCCTGCTCAGGCTGCAAAGAAGATAAACGACTGGGTGGACGAGAAAACTCATCACAAAATCACAAACATTATCCTAGAAGGTGAGTATTTTATGGTTCTGGAAATAAATTTAAAAACCCTAAGTTAAAAGACAGTGGACCAAGTAGAGTGTTGTTTTTTTTTTTTTGCAGATGACATTGACCCAAATACTCGTATGATCATTATGAACGCTCTGTACTTCAAAGGAAAATGGGCGAAAAAATTTGATGACAAGTTTACGGTAGATCTACCCTTTCACGTGGCTGAGGGTAAACAAATAGCTGTGCCTATGATGCACATCAACGAGACATTTACTTATGGAAAACTCGATAGCTTGAAGGCCCGATTCATTGAGATCCCTTACGAAGTAAACATTTTAAAAAAATTTATTTTATACCATTACGATGTAACAAAACGGATGAGAACAACATTCACGGTTTATGATTTGCAGAATAAAGATTTGAGACTGGTGATCATTGTCCCCGACGAAAAAGACGGACTGAGCGAGGTGGAAAGTAATCTTGGAAATCTCGATTACAAGAATGCGATCAAGAATGCCCGGCGACGATTGGTTTATTTGTCGATGCCGAAATTTAAGATCGAAAGCAACATAGAGCTAAAAAAGTCTCTAAGTTCGGTAAGAAATACATATCATATGCTCGTTGGCAAGGGATGTTGTGAACGTGGTCTTTTGAAAAATTTCAGTTAAACATGGCACGGATTTTTGAAGACCAGGCGAATTTCAAAGGAATTTCCAATGAGCCGTTGAAGATAAATCAAGTCAAGCAAAAGGCATTCATTGAAGTCAACGAAGAAGGTAGCAAGGCTGTAGCTATAACTAGTAAGTTAATTGTGGTACTGTTTTTTCAAAGCTGCAACTTTCAAGTTTTTAATGCATTTATAATTTTTTTTTTTTTTTGTTCAACTTTAGCTATTGATATTACGCTCAAAGCGTTCTTTGACGAGCCACCACCAGTTTTTCTTAAAATTGACCATCCATTTATGTTTGCGATTCGAAAAGCAGATTTAACGTTGTTCCAGGGGCATGTTTATAATCCATTGTTGAGCTAAATTTTAAATTTCAATGAAATACCTATCAATGCATAAGTTACTGCATTAATTTGAGGCTTACACAGAAAATACGAAGAACACGAAGGACTGTGAAAAATATATTATTTATAGATTATTTACAATTCATATTTACAACAAGACATTTTTAACGTATAAAATTAATTTGAGGATTCAGGCTTGATTGGTGCGCCATAAGATAACAAGACCGTTTTTATCTCCAGAAGCTAAAAGAGACTCGTCATAATTAAAACTGAGCGATAATGTTGCTGATGAGTGACCTTGCAGAATGACCTTTCCATCTCTTACAGAGTCAAATAAAAATATAGTACCATCTTCTGAGCCCGTGGCTATTTGAGCCATTTGTGGACAAAATGTCGAACGAATAAAATACTGCCTGAAAATAAACTTGTTACAATTACATCGTCTTTAAAAGATAATGTTCTGGAAATGTTTTAAGTACCTGTGTTTGATTGGATATTTTTTCCAACTGACTAAACAACCCTGATCATCGGCTACCTTAAACAAAAGCACGGCATTGCATGCACTGCTCACTAAAAGAGTTGGCCACGGAAAGTCTTTAGATAACCATGGACGCCAGGAAAGACTCGTTATAGTCCCACCAGTTCCTTCCATTCTACGTAACTTGGTTAATTTTCCTAATCCTAATGGTTCCAACCTAAACGAGATAATGTTACCTCTGTCATTACCTGCCCATACTATAGATCCACCACTTTCTTCGCAAGATAATGCTGTGATCTGCAAGTTTGTTACTTTTTTTAATTTACATCAATTTGTTGGTAAAAGCTTGAACTTGGGCGAGAAAAAGAAAACTTACTCTTCCACCAATTTTTAAAGTTCCATTCTTTGTAAACTTTCCAGTTGAGACATTTAAAGTCTGCAGTAACCCCCGGGAGTTACCCGCCAAAACAAAATTATTGTTTGTAGGGACAAAAACACAGCACAGAACTTCTGCTCTGCTTTGGTCCAGAGTAATCCTCAAACAGTCTGTCTTTGAGTCTTGATGAATTTTCCACAGTCTAACTGTACAGTCCAAGGATGAAGAAACCAATAGATCATTGCTCGTACTCCAGTCAATTGCAGTAACACCCTTTTGATGGCCTTGAAGAAAAGCAACAACCTTGGGTGGAGTACATTCACAAATGGAAATTGTTCCATCGTTTGAGGCACAGCAGAATCTAGATCTGTCATTGTTGGCGAATTTGAGCATAGAGATGGCTGCAGAGTGATGATCAAAGACATGATGGACTCCTGCAAAACGCTCAGCTGTTCTTTTGTTGGTAGTTTTATCTTTGCCTTTTATATCAAAGCTCTTTTCTGAAGGCAAACTCGCTGTATCCAGGCAAGTGCCGTATCTACGCCTGAGCAATTCCGATCTAAGTTTCAAGTACCGTCTTTGCAATTCAGGATCCTTGCAGGGTTTAGCTTGTAACAGCTGGCTCCTTCTGCGTATATACATCATTCCTAAAAACGATCAACTGTGTGTACTTTTTTTCATCCAAATAAACAAGCCAGTAAAAGCGTTTTAAAAATTACCCAAGCTGTTGGTGTTTACGGCTCTTTGGGAATGATACTTGGCATCCAAAGCAAAAACTTGTTGATGCCAAATTGATTTCATGGTAAGATTTTAGTTTTCTGCAATGTAAAATATGTTTGATTCTCGCACTCCATTGGTTCATATTTGTTTAAAATTATTTTTCGAAAACATAAGAAGTAACATAACTAACCTTTACGCTTGAACCTCGAGAATAATCATTGTAAACTTAAGCTAGTAAAATTTTATGCTTAAATTTTCATAAGTATATCATATTGTATACGTTTTTAGTAATCCAAAATACACTTCATATATACATACTTGTTATAAGAATAACAACAACACCGAGCAGACACCCTCTGATTTCATTAATAACACTTCTGACAGTTTTCTTTCTGCTATACATTTTTTTATGTGTGTGACGTCATCCTCTCTGGCTAATGCAGAGAACTACCATACCAACGGTCAACTTCGAGCGAAGAGCAGCTAGCGGCGTTACCACCGAGACCTACATACGTAACTTTACAGCCTCTGATTTTATCATTCTGGTAAAGAGAGCACGGTGTAAGATATAAGTTATGTGTAGTAATTAAAGTAATTACTACTAAGTAATGCCAAATGGTAGATTTTATTAAACCATATGAATATCTATATTTTTGGAGGTCGGCTTTTGGGTGTAAAATAAATTGTAAACAGCACAGACCTCGTCAACTTTTAACTAGCTATCTATAATATTAGTTGCGGCTGGTTTATAATTGATTAAATGTCTCTAATATAAGAAAAGTAATAATTATTTGGATCAGCGCCATCTAGCGTTGCGAATTTTCTGAACTAAAAAGTGGCCCTAAACTTTTGAACCAGAGCATTAGCGCGTAGAGCCATTTAGTCAAGTATAAACCAGCCGCAACTCATTTAATAGCTATAGAATAAAAAAATAACGATACATGTGTTTTTGGCGGCAAGTTAACAATATATTTTCTACTAAAAAATTGACCTCCTATGTGTTTGTACTTTTGAAGATAAATTTTTAAGCATAAGATAGATTGTTAACTTGCCGCCAAAAACACATGTATTATTATTTTTTTATTTTATAGCTTTGTCATGAGTTGCGGCTGGTTTATAATTGA